GGAGACAGAAAGGAAGGATTCAATTAACCAATCAATAACCAGAACCTTCTTCTGGTGTGTGGAACAAACAGTATTTCTAAACAGCCAGGTTTCATGTGAAAATATTTACAACTACTTTGACTTATCATGTATCCAAGTGAATGTGAAACGACTGCAAAAAAATTACATGACCATCTAAAGAGCATACCTTCTGAAAGTGTCAAAGACGACTGAGTCATCACAGTTAATGGCATCTGGGTGGTTTGGCGGCAGGCACACATCACCCAGCTGCATCTCATAGCAAGGGATCCCATGGTGCACCACAGTAAGACTTGGATAAAAGGAAGACCACCCTGAAACAGGATATTATATATTAGTTTGATCCTAAAGGTGTTTACTGAAATGCAAAAACTAAATAGATTGGATTCAGCAAATTGTTTAAGTGGAAGATTCTAACAGCAAAGATCAATTTAAAAGGAAAGAACATGTGTTTTTGTACCTTTGTTTTTGACAAAAAAGGGGTGATCCAATCGGCATTCAGCTGTTAGCAGGCCTTCATCTTGTGAGCCCGGGTCAAAGGTCAGTTTCAGAACTGCCTGCCCAAAGGATAATGTCTCCTCGTGGTTCACCAGTTTAAGCCCATCAGAGCCATATCTCTGTAAAGGAAACATAAATGCAGATAAGAAATGTTTCTATTAACTGGAAAAACGTGCATGACAAATTCACTACCAGAGAAGAATTAGTGTAGATACAAATCAGTGTTCAACTGCTTAAAGACTCAGTATGCGAGACACCCACAGTGCTTAATGTAATAGACCACCTGTGATTACATTTTTTTTTTTTTAATTAAAAAAAAATTTAAAAACCAAATATTTTTAGAAATCTGTCAAAAACTAAAAATAACTGAATTCATGTTTTTATACCCAAACTTCAGCCACCACTGGAGAATTTAGAAATTACTCAAGCGTAATATTTGACCACTAAAGCTCATTTTTCTGTTCGGGAATGCAGTTAAATTTATTTTAATTAACAAATAATAATTTGCTTTAATATTATTAATATTTATTTATTATTTATTTATTTTGCAAAACCGGAAATTTGAAAATTTGTGGAGTAAAGACACTAAATTGATTAAACAGTTTGTACACAGTGGTGGATCGACCATTACAGAAACATAAAAGATCATTTTAGTTATTACCAATACTGTTAATTTAGGACAGCTGTGGCATAAACCTTACTTGGGTGATAGTCTAATAAATTAGTTAATTACTTTACACCAACACACACATATATATATATATATAAAAACGACCATTGCTGCAAATCATTTGAGACTCATTTGTGCACACAGTTACTCAAATTTACTGTCAGTCACTTTCTATAAAGTACAAAGTAAACTACATATTATAAAGCACCTTATACAAGTGTCCACAATGATTTACTCATCTAGTCAGACTATCAGAATTTTTAAGACATACTAAAGGCACCATACGTTGCCATACCTTGAAAGAGGATGAGGATGGAGGCATGCTTTCATCATCTGAGTCATCATCCGAATCCCCGAGTTCATCAGCTTCCTGCCACTCCACATTTGGACCTCGATGGAAGCGCAGACGAGTCCCTGAATAGCAACAGAACAATGAAGCATGACAAATTAGCATAAGTGTGCTGATGTTGCAGAGAGGATGCTAGAAACTGGATGCAATGCTGCTGTTTGGACACCAGAGGTAAGAACTGGTCTTCTTTGCAATTTGTGCTAATCCTAGTGGAAGAAAATGTTAACAAAATCATCCTGAATGAATCTCTAGTTGTCCTCAGCACATTTTGAAGGATTTTCCTGCCTTCATCAAGTGATGACATTTGAAAAAAAAAGTGAATTTTGCATTCATGTTTAAATATCAAGCAAACACTATGAGGAATTTTCAAGACAATTGTTTCAAGTACTTCAAACGTTCACCATTAACTCCAACATGTGTGACTGAATTGACTTCTAGGTGTGTGTGTGTATGCACTGACGGATGCATATGGTCATGTATTCTTATTTATGCACCTTTTAGGAAACAATGCCAGGCTGTGGAGGGCCAAGAGTGAGACCATGCCATGTCTTCATCATCAGAAAACGATGATGACATTGAGAAAACCCCAGACTCTGATTCACTGCTGGCCTGTTTTTGATAATTAAGAAAGACAAATTACAATCATACCAGCATTGAGACAGGTTGAAAATCCATGCTGAGTCTGTCAGAATGAATGATTATCAGGTTTTTGAGTGAGAATGTTAGAAATGAAAGGTTACCCTGACACGCCTGCGCTCCCTGAGGTGGCCTCTGGACGGGTTGGGTGCACTACTGGCTAACGGGGGCCGGGCATAGGAATGTAAACTATTGCTGTTGCCAAAGATGTGAACTGGAGATGATCTGAAAAACAGTGACAATGTCACAAACATCAGTAGTTAGTTTGTTACGCAAGTAGATATATTTGTCACACACTCAAATGCACTTATATGCAGCTTTATGTGATTCTTTTGTAATTAAAACAGATTTTGCTCAGTCTTGGTCATAATGTTGCATGTCCCAACTGCAGTTAAAAATCTGCACAATTTTAGGGGCTATTTTTGCTGTTGTTCTGCTAAACTGCTACTCTTAATCTTGTGAAATTACCCCCAGGTGTACTGGGGTGTACTGTTACTACATGTGTAAAGGCGTCTCTGTGTTTACATCACACATGCAGGCATTCCTTAAACATCTACAAACCTTTTGTGTGGGGCGTCCTTCAGTAGAGGGCTCTGAGGACTGGTGGCTATGTTGGCCAACTCGGCAAGCCAGTTGGTGCTAGGAGAGCAGCTGAGCTCCTGGTGAGACACTGCTCCAACTTGAAATAACCTCGGAGACCTCTGGTCCTCCTCCACCTCCTGCAGCTCTGGCATGTCGTCTAAGGAGATAATTCAGTACTTTTCATACGCATATCTGAAGGGTTCGGTTTGCTTAACTGCAGACTGCACATTCTTTTTGGCTAGTTTTACCATACTCCATGTGGCACCCAGGAGGGGAAGGCAGGTCCTCATTACACTTGAGCGGATCGAACGACTCGTCCATTTTCAAGATGTTCGGTTTCCTCTCTTTCAAAATAAAAAACGGGCTACTGTCCAGCTTACTCAGCATCCATCGTCATACTCTGACACATCATCTGGTTTTGGGCAAAACCAAAAGACAAAGTTAGAGCTAAAATGGAGCTACTGCTGTCATCTGAATCAGGGCTGTGCAATAACCAGTTGCACTTGAAGCCCTTGAGGCAACTGTTGTTGTAATTTTGTACTATATATAAATATATAAATAAAAATTGAGCTCCGTTGAATTGAAATATGAACTAAATCAAAATAAAGTCTTTGCAGTTATAAAGTTGTATGTATGTCTGCGTTTGTTTGTTTTTTTATGGTAATATGGTTTGAAAGAATAATCAACTGAAAGAAAAACACGACTATAACACCCATGAGCTATCAAAGATCATCACCACAGCAAAACAAAAACACCACAGTTAGTACTGAATCATTGCATATCACGTATGACATCAATATTACGGAAAAGGCACAAAGCCTTTGGGAACTCCTTTGTCTCTGAATCGACACAGCAAACCTCTGTGAATAGTCATGTGACTCCCTGCGTGGAGGCCTTGTTTATAAACTTAAAAGGGTTTGACGCATGCGTACCAGAGCTCATTCATTCATAACTGCGCAGCGAAAGCGAAAAATACCAGAAATTCGTCTTAAAAAGTGTCTTACCGACGGTGGAAAACATCGATTTTGAAAACAAAAGTATGTGAGTGTCAATGACAAAGTAAAATATATCATTCTTATTGGGAATTTATATTGTGTTAATCGACAAACAATGTATGGAAAATCGTTAAAATATAAAGGTGACCGTGACTTCCTGAATTTAACACATTTAAATGAAAAACTGACGAACACTAACGGTCTGCCAACCGATCAAAGGCCGCAGGTTCGGAGACACCGTTGTTTCGACTTCGTAAGCAAGGATACACGAACAACATAATACCGTTCAGAAAACGCTTCAACAGTCTTATATTGTCGAAAAAGACGGTTGGGGACTCGGCCTGCTCTTTTTCCAACATTTAAATGCAGCAGTACTTTCCTTCGCTCAAACCTCGAAGCTCTGGGGTCTAACACTGTAAACAAAAGAATGTCAACAAGTTGAGGCATGACGCAACATCTTTGCCCCGTTCAAAATGAATGACACGAAAACCTATAGAAGCATTTTGACGGCATTTTCACACTATTCAAAGCATATTCTACTAATTTGAAGACTTGTTTTAATACAAACAACTGCTGTCGGATGGGTTTCTTGCAACAAAAACAACGAGCGTCACAACGGAGAAAAAAAAAAGCCCCACTGTCGATCTCAATCTTTTAGTCGACGTCAAATTAACGCGTGACAACCTCGCTTAAACATTATACAATAATTGCAAAGACACGAGTCTCACGTGGACCGAGTTAAAAATTACTTTCAACCGTTTATTTCTTCGAAAAAACTCACCAACTTCCCACTTACCAGAGCTGTCGACATCAAGTAACTCTGTGGCATTCACTCGAGGGGAGGGATTGAATGGCTCCAGAGGAAGCTCCCCATTGGTGCGTAACAACGTCAACAAGACGAATTCGGATATTCTATTGGTTGATATGTTTGAGAAAAATAGGAGAGGTGTCCCCTAGTTTGTTGTTTATCCTCTCATTGGATAAAAGTACACGCCTGTTACTAGCCAGTAACAGCTGATTGGCAATAAAAGGAACAATACATGACTATTTTTTATCTGCAGTGTTGCAGTTACAGCAAGAATCACATGGACACATCGTTTTAAAGATTAAATTCTCTTTTTCGTAACGAAATAATCTCGTAGAAGATATGGGGACTGCCATGAAGAATGAGTGGGTCAGTAAGAAACTGACTCTTTCATTCTTTTAACAAATACTAACCGGAAGCACAAATACAAAAAAAAAAAATCTTTATTGACATGAAAAGTGAAACATACAGTACTTTTAGCCAGTATTGTGGGTATGCCTTCAAAAATGACCAGTCCTACGGGGAAGGGTGGGGGATAAAATCTGCATGTTTAACCAGTTAAACCATGTAAGCTGCAGACAAAATACAGAAGACCTCAGTTACTTTAAAAAGAGAGAAGTAGTAAGAGAGAGGACCCACTTTAGATTCCTGTTGAGCGTAAAACTGTAGAAGTTGTTGGCAGAGGTAGACAGCAAATATGGATGTCATAATAATGTATGTTTCACCTATGCAAAAACAGTATTACCTAAATTTTACATTGAAACACAGAAAAATGAGTTGCCTTAAGATGTTGCCTGTAATGACTACTGTCTTGTTGGGCAACTTATGAAGTTTAAAGTGGGCCTATTATAATAACAGTAAATACTCCGTTTTAAAATTATACAGCAATGTGTTGTGTGTTGTTACAAAACTATCAGCTATTTCTCTGAACTTTGCTTTTTTGAAAAAAGAAAGAGCATAGTACTCAGCTAACTGCCACAAACACTTAGCAACAGTGATACGTGGTTTATGAGCATGTATTCCAGGGACTCCATCTTATGCTAAACAGGAATGTATTTTTGTAGAAATTTTAGGATACTGCCAAGTTTTTTTGTTTTTTCATAATCAAAATGTCAAAGATTTTATCCTTTACAAACCGTTTACCCTTTCTCAGGTTTGGGCCCTTTTGTACATGTGACGTTTGCTCGCACTTATCCAGTAAGAAATCAGCTTTGGCTTTTGACTTTGACACGCAATGTTTAGAAATTTACAAACGATATATATAATGTTGTACGTGTGGCTATAACACTGTGGAGAAAATGTGAAAGTTAAAAAAAAAATGCTCAAATTACAAACAAGTAATGCACCCAACACCGACAAGTAAAATGCACACTTACATTTTTTTTTTTTTTTTGTAAGGTGAGTGTTGTGGAAAATGTAATTTAAACAAGCTTTAAGCAACTCTGCTTTGGCTTTACTTTTCAGCCATAACCTTCCGACAACGTGTGTTTTATATATCTGACGCTCAAATGGTTTATGTAGGTGGATATTCACATTTCTTGTAAGAAAATCTGTTTAAGTGGTTACAAGCCTTTTTCCATCCACCCATTTACAGTCCACTGCAGTCGCTTCATGCAGTCTGTTGCTCAATTTCAGGGCTACTTCCAAACAGGGTCACCAGCTGCTCCTCATAGTTAGCAATGTTTCTCTTCATGATGTCCATGCATGGGCCTAGCAATCTCTCAAAGGCTTGAACATCCATGACTGATAAAAAAGAAAACAGATACAGTCAGGACTTGGAGGTGAATTTGAAAAGGATGGTACAAAATAATATGTGTTTTACTGGGAGATGTGCATCTTTGGCGCGATATATGAACGAACGAGCACAAAACTGCACAAAATTTACCCAAGCATTTGACACTCCCCACAGCATAGGCAGATGCAGCTCTGGGTTTGTTTGTGACGAGAGCAAGCTCCCCAAAATACTGGCCCCTGGAGCATGTAGCGATGTCCACCTCCTCTTCTTCTTGGTCTGTTTTTGTCTAGCAGAGAAAAAGAAATGCGTACTCTAAGTTTCCAGAGATTTTTTTTTTTAATCAAAGGCTTGTCTAAAGGGTGGCGGTGCAAACTTACCCGACTTCTCTTCATAGTGATTCTAACCTGGCCAGATTCGACAATGTAGAAGCAATCCGCTAAATCACCCTATGACAAAAAGCAACACAGCAATTGCAAAGGAGCACAAAAACATGTAGAATTTTTTAAAAAAAAAAGTCCAATAAAAGCAGATTGTACGAAGACATTATTCACCTGAGCAATGATCTGCTGCGAGTCGCTGTACACCCTGGTGGATAGCACGTCAACTACCTTCATTCTCTCTGACACCTGTGCATGAAACATATTTGGTTTGCAAATGTTTTACTGTAAATATGTAGTACACTGTGTAAATGCTGGAGGACAATGTTAATCTTGACCTCTAAAGATGTAAGCAGGGGTAGAGTTTCAATGAATGCCTCATACAGCTTCCTCTTCTTGGCATTGTTTTTCACTATGATCCTCCTGAATGTCAGACGATCCTGAAACAGATTTAAAATAAGGCTTCATTAAACACAATTTCTGATGACACTGACCCTGGGGTTAGACAAAAACTAACAATTCACACATTATAAAATATTATTCATAATAGTGCTATACAGTAATAAAAATAATAATAAACATAATGATGAAAAATCCCCAACCAAGAAGTCCAGACTGATCTCATGTTGTGTTGTGTGCAGTGCCGACGTGGGACAGTTTCCAAATTCGTTATACTATTGCACCAGGTATGACTGTGCAATGACAATAAAGAGTTATCTTATCTATCTTATCAAATAGCTCACATAAAACAATAGTGTGCACTTATAGTTTGAATTTAAGAAAAGAAAAGAAACAGCACCATCCATGTGTCATTATGTGAATGAAATGAATGAAAGGACACCAAGCCTGAACACAAAGAAAGGAAAAATATCACAGACAGCATGGTCAACAAAGCTTGCAGTAACATACTGTGCTGCAGGAAACATATGTGACTGCAGAGGGCGCCCTATAGCTGACAAACCTTTTTCCCCTCACCCAAAGGCGCAAGCAAGGCTGGAACCTCATGGTTTAAAGGTTGCTAAAGTTGGACCCACTTCAAGTTCATATCCTATCGCTTGTTTACAAAATGAACAAGGGCCATAAATAAATTTTCGACTGTTTGACTGGATGCATTTTTTAGCAGCACTCTTCCTCCTTGACCTAAACCAATTGGTGGTCAAAAGGGGCTTCCTGTTTGAGATTAGAGACTCAAATAAAAACAACCTACAAGTCCTCAGGTGAGCACAGGACATGGCAGCAACCTACCCAGCTGCACTGAGAGGACTTAACTGAGACGTTACCCGCAGTTCAGCGATGGCTCTCATAGTCACTAATAAACAGCAGCTTCTCAGAAACAAGTCAGACTGCGACTGGATACTTAACTGGATGTTTTGCCAGTTTTCCTTAAGTAAAATAGCATCCATGCTGAAATGTAACAATAAAACGAACAGAGCCTGGAGGTAAAACAGCTGCTTTCGCCTTAATTTGTGTTCACCTAATGATGGTTTCCACACCGTCGCAGATAAACTCCCTGCTTACTTAAATCATGACAGCTGACAGCACAGCATGCTATAAAAACCCGATTAAGGATCCAACTGTGCCATTGCAGTGGGGTGCGGTGTAATGGTTTACTCACTAGGCACCAAAGGGCTCCAGGTGAAGTGGCGATTATTGTGGCCGCCCTGGGGGTGTTGTACATCAGCGCCAGTTCTCCAAAGCTGCCTCGGTTGTCATAGCAGCCCACCAACTTTTCCGTGCCATCAACCTTCACGAAAATGTTAAACGTGCCACTGAATGGAAAGGCAGCGGGGAAAAAATATCTTCAGTTAGCACAAAACAATGATTTCAGCAATTATTTAGCAACTGTGTTCACTTTTTCAAGTTAAATAACCAACTATGATGCGATTTGAAATTCACGAGCAAGTTAAACCCACCTTTCGATAACGTAGAAGTTGTCCCCGTCATCATCTTGATCAATGATATGTTCCCCTTCCGTGCAGAACTTCTCGAACATGGCATCCAGCACCTGAGACATCTCTTCCTGTCATGGGGGCGGGGACAGCAGTCAGACAGTGAAAGAATCATGCAGAATGCACTCAGAGTTTGTTTTCGAGTTTCCAAAACAAATAAATAAATAACTATCTCTAAAAAAAATTAGGCACGGTGTACTGGGCATGCAGCAAAAAAAAAAGAAGAAATTTACTGGCCTTGGGCCATGTTTCCCTTTGTTTAATTTAGGATATGGCAGGGCACAAACCAGAGAAGAGCTTATGGAATAATCCACTCACTGGATCCAAATTCTTGAACAGAAGAATGTCCCTACATGCTTCCTGTAGTCTCTGTCTCTGCTCGTCAGTTTTGGGGTGAGTGACCTAAAACAGATCACGAATCACACTTATAACCTCTGAACAGTTAAACCAGTTGTGTAAAAACAATAATCACTGGATGGATGCAGTTTACCCTTGGCTCTTTATCCTCATCATCTTCATCAGGATTGAATGCTTCAGCACACACTGCATGACACAAACACACGAATCACATTTACATTTCTCTTATTGATGGGCAGCAGCTATTTTGTCCATATAGTGTTTTCGACTCTGGGGCAGTTTTCTTGTTATTAGCGACAGTAGATGTTAAAGGTGTTTGTAAATAGAATTGTTAATTGATCCCTTATTAATTGCTTGTTTCTTCCCATCCGCGAATTATAACGCTGAAGTATACTAGCATCTCTAGGGTCTCTGAGAGCTCACTTCCAGTGGAACTGTCTACCAGGTCTTTATTTGAAAAAGTTTCACTTTTTCTTTAAATGAACTTTTAGATGAATAACGACACCTTACATAACATCTGAAAAACAAATGTTCATCTTCAGGTGGCCCACGGCACAGACTTCATCCCAGTCAAACAAAAAAGGCAAATTCCAGGGATGATTCAGGACCAGTTCAGGCAATAAATCTTTCAATAAAAACAACTTTTCTCATCTTGAGTACAGGAATATGCGGTGATGGATGACAGCACTCTTACCACATTTCCTTCCTATATGTTAACAGAAAGATGGGGTAGTGGTATAAAAAACTTTCAACTTGACACAGGCTAACGTGGAATATGGTAAGTGACCAGCTTAATGTTAACTTAATTGAATCTGTTTTCATTTCATGTGCAAGATTTACGGTTTGCTAAGTAAAAGATGTTCGTTCCCCGTCTGAAGTGATAAGAGGTAAGGTAAATACCCAAGTTATTAATAAATAATTCTTTCCATTCAGAAAGGCAAACCAAGCAGCTATCCAAACACAACTAAGTTATGTGAAGCCGCAACTTTACTATTGCTACATTACTCACTGACGGGTTCGAGACAAAGTGGCTTCACAAGCTGTAACATATCAACACTATTACAATAAGTGGATGACGGTAACAAAAGACAGATGGAAAAATACTTAAGTATCACTTGTACTGAAGCCAATCTGACGCAGCCTCGCTAGTCATGTGTCACAGAAGGCTTTATTTAATGTTTTCAGCTCAGACACTGTCCAGAGTTTCCCTCCTTGACACAACAGGAAGATGGTAACTCACCTGATGCTCTTCGGATGAATCTGTTTATCACAGGGGCTGGAGAAAAGAAAAAGAAAGATATATATCTGTATTTTTTTTTTAAAGCATGTTAGATTTCACCATAAAAGATATCCATCCATCACAAACTGTTATTGCTAGTAAGGTTTGAGGCCGTTGTATTTCGTTATCTACAGCACAAGTGGAGCATTCTCATTAGGGTCTATATTCATCTGAGTAAAAACTGAATGGGGGACAGCTGCTTTGAAGTGGATTTTAGCCTTTGAATCAAATTTAAATGAGAAAAACAGTGCCAAGCTGCTACACAATAGGTCAGTATGAAATATACATTAGATAGGTCTCGTCCATTAATGGCCTGCCAGCCAGTGATGACTGGGGAATCTCATTGAAATATGGGAGGCATTAATGGTGGTTGGTTGGTTGGGGGGGCACAACAATGACCCAAAACACAGACGTTTAACAACTGCATGCGAGGCATTTCTCCTTATGTAACCATTGCAGCCAGTCTTGCAGAAGCCACCACTCATTGGGATGCTGTGTCAGAGCTCTGGGTTGCTTCTGGCTGCACCTCATTACACTCTGGCAGCAGTCACTGTGTTAAATACTTCAGGAAATGTAGGCCTGTCGACAGCACATTGTGTACTGCCTGCATCTATATAACAGCTAAAGCTATAGGCCTTTATATTTTACAAGCTTTGTCTTTTTTGGGGGGTACATATGAAGGGGAGGCCCACCGGGCCTGCACCTGAGACAGAAAACATTTAAACGGTCCAGATGTTTTTATCACTATCATAATTATTTATAAAGCAAAATAAGCCGCAGTGTGCAGGTGCTATTCTCTGAGCAGAAACGTGAAGAGCATAACACGTTCGTGAACCAGCATTGAGCCTCGGTGACCATATATGGCAAATGACAGAGCCGTTGTAAATGTATGGCGGCAGCATCAGCGCGCTCGATGTGGATTTTCATTCTCTCCCACGGCCATCCATCCATCCATACATGCTCACAATTCAAAGCAAAGCATCTCGAGTCAAGTTCAGCATCCCCCCATGACAGAAACACGCACGGTGAATGTGTTAGCCCACCTATGAATTCCTCGTCATCGTCGTCGTCCTCCTCTCCGTTTTCCGAATCGATCTGCATGGCTTCGTCAATGAAATTGACCGCTTTCCCAAGTCTCGGGGCCGAATTTTGGTCATTGCCAAATGAGGCCTCTTTGGTCTCGTTCTCCTTAAGCTGGGTGAAATACTGTAGCGCAAACTCGAGCAAGTCCCTGGGCTGATTCCTCAACACTTCCACGGTAAAGCTCTGTAACAGCTCCGTCAGTCCTTCAGGAATTTCTATACTCATTCCTGTTATCAGTCTATGGATGTGGACAAAACCGGTTTGCTGCGAATTTCAGTGATTCAAAAGCACCCAGATCAGGTTTTCTTCCCGTCGTGTTTTTTGGTTGGCTTTTTTTTTTTTAAAGATGCCGAAATCAGCAGACGGGTGTGTAGTCAGACCACCCGCTCAGCAAGCCCTCCACAGCGGATCCTCTCTTTTTCTTGAATGAAAATGGCTCTGGATTTTTGGTCCGAACATCTTCTGCTGCTTCTGGCTAGGAAACCCACGCATGTGACCCAGGAATCCATGGCAACCACCTATCCAGAGATTGCGTACGAGCAGCAGCGGCGCAGAAACTGCAGTCAGTCGCAAAATACAAATGATGGGAAAGAGAAGCCCTGGGGAAGGCTCTTTCAGTCATAGATCGATTTTTCACTAACAGAGATTAGATCAAATATCCTGCGGTCTGGCATGTATGTTTGCCGTGGTTGTTCGCTCATACTTACCCTAAACGATTAAAAATATGATTAAATAAGAAGGGCAACATCGCATATTATTTAAAAAGAAAAAACAACAACAGCAGCAGACATAGCAAGGATAAAGACAAAAAGGTACTGCCATGCAATGATAAACACTGAATCTGAGGGAAATGTACTATTTTTTGTTTACATGTAATTCATATTTAAACAGGTAAACATTAAAACCTAAGGCCTCTGTAAAGACCTACAAATCAATAAAGATTCGTTCTGTATTTTTATTTAGGCTTTCTTCTTTTTAAAGGCGCTAATAAGAAAAGATCGTTTATGATAGTTTAGAGAGTTTGGAGGCTCATTTCTTAGGGAGAAAATAATAATACATGTGCTGGATATTTTAATGTCACGGGACCTGTCAGAACACTTTGACCACGCCAGAATGAAGTTTCATTTCAGAATCAAACGTTCCCCCGTGATATCACGGACTTGTGTAGCTGAACATTTAGAAAAACGGCTCAGACAAAGAAAAAATAAGTCTAGGTCTCAAACTAAAGGCCATTAATCATAGACTTCATATGGGCATCTATCAAGAGATGAACTAATGATGCTTTTCTGTGGGTCACAATATGACTGAGCCACAAAAATGTACATCCATAATATGAGTTCAAATTTGGTTGACACTTTCTCATTCCAGAAACATTTGTAGGAATGACATGAGTTCACAAGCCTGCAAAACTACATTCTGTCAAACAGCTAATCCAAAGAGCTTAGCAGAACAAGGGGAAGTAGAGCAAAACAAGGGGGTAAGGGTTAAACTGGAATGCAGAGCAAGTGGGAAGTCTGCCCACTTGCTGAGGTTGGGTGACCTCAGGTGAGTTTTAGTCATGGCATGTGGTGGCACTACTACTACAGTGTGAGAAATCCCCCCCAAAAAATCCCGTCTCATATTGTGTTGGAATTTCAAGGCTTCCAGCAGAGAGAAGGTTAGTTTGAGGGAACAGATAATAATTGTGCTAAAGGAGCACAGCTATTATCTGCCATGGTTATCATTCCACTGTGGCTCCACTATGACACCCCTCCCCCTGCTGTGGCCCATATCTGTCACCCTTTATTAAGAAAGGCGCAGCATTTTCTCACTCCGGCGAATGGGAGCATGTCGATGGAGCGACCTGTAATGCTCCACTGCTGCAGTTTAGCTGTTAGCTTTCAAACTCACTATTTCAGACCACTGTGAACTATAAGACACCCCCCCACACACACACACACACACATCTGAATACAGCACAACGCCATCATTTCATACTGTAAGAGTCAGCTCCACAAACACACACACTGTGCGTCAGCCCTGTTCACTGAACCATAGATCCTGAAGACTGTTTCTACTTTAAGCTTCACAACAGACCAGTGGAGCTTGCATTGGTGTAATTGTTAACTACACTTAAACAGCGAATATATATATATATATATATATATATATATATATATATAAAAAGAAGATAAAAGAACACATAACTTCTAGCTACTCTTCATCAGACATAGATTGGTTTTTTTAGGCCTGCAATTTTTTCTTTTGTTCTTCACTGGCATTCTTGCACGTGTATTTAAACTGAAGAAATGGGGGGAAACATGTCTTTTTGCAATACTTAAATAATACTTGCCAAGTGAAGTGGGGCGATATCAGCTTCGAAAGGGCTCCGTGTTTTTATTCTTTGGCTTTAACTCAAAAATGTAAAGCTGAAACCTCTTAAGTCAATTTAATGACGTAATGATTGAGTACGTCCTTCTTTAATTCATTGGCTGCTAGAACCCATTTTGAATGTATTAGTGTCACCTACTGGACATCCCACTACATTACAATGTATTGTTAAACTAGTTAAACAGTTGATGTTGCTTCCTGTTTCAAGTGCCATTAAGTTGCCGTCTTTCCTGAGTGTGTTGGAACAAATGTATTCCTTGGGTATTACTAAGGGTAAAATAAGCTTACTGTGTAAAATTAGATAATTAATTCAGTGGTGAAGCTGTTCCACATCCTTGTGGGTTTCATTGGTGCTTTCCTGTAAACCTTGAAAAGCCTGTGGTCTGCATGTTTAGGTCATTGTAACAGATTCTGAGATAAACCCACACAAGTAGATTTTATTAGATTTAGCATTTAGTGTACAATATTAATATAGTCAAAATCACTATATCCAACAATTAAGGCTAGGCACCTAGTTCTGCTCACGTTCAAGAAAGAAAGAAAGAAAGAAAGAAAGACAGAAAGACAGAAAGACAGAAAGACAGAAAGAAAGAAAGAAAGAAAGAAAGAAAGAAAGAAATGGCTCAATGAAGACATCCTGTACAAGATGCATCAGTCTTCATGACATTTTACCAGTAAGCCATCTCCCTGGGGTTGCTGTAGAGAAACCACAGGGGTGTCACCCTCAGTGCACTTAATTTTTTTTTTTTTTTTTAAATGCATCCTTCCTCATTAAATTTGCATAAATGTGCAACCGAAAAGAACAGTAAAGTATCCTAAGTGTAGAACAGCTCATGTCACCATGACTCTTTAATAAGAATAATAATAAGAATCACTTTATTTATCCCGAGGGAAATTCTTTTGTCATGTACATGCTCAAAGTAGCAGGAGAGACAGAGGAACAGATGAATAAGATATACAATATATACAATAAGAATAGTAGTATACAGTAATATACCGGTACAGTAGGATAGTGCAAGACATAGTATCAAATAACTCTAACGAAGTAATATATATAACTATAACCTGGAGAATAAAGAACTATCAGTGCAGGCGATTCTAGAAAGTGGCAGTACTGTGCAATAGAATAAAGGGAGTAGCAGCGTATGATGGGGGGATGAAACAAATATTCAATAAGGTACTGTTGGATAATATTGCACGGTCTGAAAGGTAACACAATAACGCTGGTAATAGTCTCAGGAAAATCACCTACAGAGTGAGGAAGAGTTATACAGTCTTATTGCCACCGGTAACGCGTTACTGTAATCCGATTACTTTTTTCAAGTAACGAGTAAAGTAAGGGATTACTATTGCAAAAACGGTAATTAGATTACAGTTACTTTCCCGTAGGAACGCTGCGTTACTAAAACCGTGATTTCTTTTTGTGAGAACGTCTCATGACATTGGTGACAACAGCTGTGTGCAGATCAACAACGGATCATATGAGTGCGGGAGAGAGTATGAACATGCCGTGTTTAAAGCGTGGAAGTACTGACCTTACTTTGAGTTTGATTCCATAAAAACTGACAAAAACATTAGTGTCCATTGTGCGTGGGAAGAAAACTTCTTTTTACACCGAAGAAAAACCCCTAAACTTCCAAGCAAGCACCGGGTGCGCTACGACTTAATGGGAAACTCACGGAGAAACTAGCGGATTCTTCCACTGACCGCTGCAGCACACCTGCACCAGGGTAAACCTCCGCCTACATCACTCCTGCTTTACAGGTGAAAATAGAGCAAAAGGACCGCTAGTCTTTGATGTTATTTATTTTCTGCTGTGTTTTACTTGCATCTATTTGAAAGAGTGTAAACACAAAACATTTTATTTTATGTGCTGGAATGTGCAGAAAATAGGTTTAAATATTAAACAAATTTCTTCCAGTCAGAGAATATTGCATATAATTAAATTTTTGCATGATGCATAAAGTTAAAAGATTAAAACTAATAAAACAAGTTTTAAAAGGGGACCTTTCCGTTTGATTACATTTTGTATGATGGATTATGCAGAAAAAGTAGAATTGGGCTGAAAGATCTATCGCTTTTTCACCTATTCAGGTTGTAAATTGTGTTTTTAAAAAGTAACTAATTAATTACTTTTGAAAATAAGTAATCAGTAAAGTAACGGGATTACTTTTTGGGAAAGTAATCAGTAATTAGTTACTGATTACTTTTTTCAAGTAACTTGACCAACACTGGCCACCGGTACAAAGGATTTACTGTGGCAGTCAGTTCTGCATTTCGGGGCAATGAGTCTTTTGCTGGGTTTGCTCCGATGGTCCATCGTGGGGGTGTGCATGGGGTGACAGGGGTTGTCCATGATAGAAAGCTTTTTTTTTCCCTTTTTTTTTTTTTTTTAAAAGCATTCTCCTCTCAGACACATCCAGGTTCTCAAGTCTGACACCCAGGACAGAACCAGCCTTTTTAATCAGTTTGTTCAGCCTGTTGGCATCAGCTGTCTTCACCCCACTTCCCCAGCACACTGCTGCAAAGAACACGACGCTTTCCAACACCGAGTGATAGAACATGGTCAGCATTTTCCTACCAACATTGAAAGACCTGAGTCGCCTCAGTAGGAAAAGCCGACTCTGCCCTTTTTTGAAGATAGCATTGGCGTGCTTGGTCCAGTCCAGTTTACAGGCCAAGTGTACCCCCCCCCCCCCCCAGGTACCGGTAGTCCTCAACGATCTCCACATCAGCCCCTCTGATGGTGACAGGGTTAGGAGGAGCCTGCTTCCTAAAGTCCATAATCAGTTTTTTTTCTTTGTGATGTTAAGTTGTAGGTGGTTTAGCTCACACCACTCGACACAGCTCTCCACCACACTCCTGTACTCCTCCTGTCCATCCCTGATTCAGCCCACAATGGCAGAGTCACCTACCAGTGGGGCGTCCACCTGCATTTCCATGAGCTTATTTACATCGCTTCAGTCTGAAAACAAACTGTAAAAAGTGTCATGGCACCCTATGCATGAGTAGATGTATTACACTGCAAGCTACAGCCAGACTGTACTTTTGATATGTTGGGATTAAGATGACTGAAAAAAGAATAGTAGCCAAGACCTGTCTGAAAGCAACTCTTTCAGTTTTGAATAAAACCAGAAACGATGCAAACATTTTTCCACGAAACATTTATTTGATCAATAGACAGGATCACATCTTTCCATAAACAGGTCAGTTAAATATTAACAAATTTACAGTCATGAGGAATGTAATACAAAAGAAACAAAAACAAATATTCGCTTTAAAAAACCCCAACCCAGGGACCCCACCCAAAATAATGTGACCACGGTGGCACTGAAACAGAGACTTAAGTCCATTTTCCAGCGCCACTGTTACACGCTCTTCCCTTCAGTGCTTCACAGTTCATCCTTGTCTTTTGTCTGCAAGCATGATTAGAGAAAGGTCAGAAGAGTAAACCACTTCAACATCTAGATTCTTAATTTTACATTGTCCTCAAGCAAGAGTGTGTGAAGTCTTCTTACCGTTTCTTCGTCATCATCCTCATCCACAGTCTCCTCTTTATCTTCAGAGTCATCTTCTGCTGGTCCTTCAGGCTCCTCCTCAGGTTCTTCTTCAATCTATAAAAGAGCCATGATTATTAAACATATCCTACAGTCTTAAAAAAAATCACTGCACAAATACTTAACATTTTACAAAGAAGATTTAAAAAGCAGAGACAAGACTAAACTCAAAAAAGGCTCACTGCTGGAAGAGGAATCATTAGTTCAGACACCAAGACATCTGCTATGCAAATTAGTACACCATACAAGAGCTGCAGTGACTTGCCTGTTCATCTAGTGGTACATTCAAGCTGAGTCGGAGCATGCGCTCTATTCTGTCTCCATAAGCTTTTGTATCAGCGAGCTGGTATCCTGAGCGCAGTGTGGCTGTCTCAAACAGAACCACAGCCAGATCTGATGCAGTCTGGTCCTCAGCATCAGTCTGGGGGGTGTGAGGAAAAGAAACTGTTCAACTATGTGCTCTGATTGGTCCATTTTAAGTTTATTCATGTAATGAACTACATTTACTAAGTAATTTGATGGTAGTCTTAGTAAAGGACCATTACTATAGTACAGATAGACAAAAATGACAGTGGTTAAACTCACATTGACTCTATTAAGCAACTGCTTGACAAGAGGATGTTTGGGGTTGAGTTCTAGTGTTTTCTTCTGGCTGGCGTAATAACTGGAAAGATTAAATGGAAATACAGATTTAGAACAAAGCAATAGCAGTGGGAGTAATAAATGCAAAGATGAGCCCAGGATTAACACTCACTTTGTGGAAATGTCCTTTCCTGTCTGGTAGGCCTGTGCCTTCATGATCCTCTCCATGTTCCCTGACCAGCCGTACTGGCTGGCAACCAAGGCGCAGGGTGAGTTGGTTAGCCTCTGAGAGAGAACAGCCTTCTCAATCTGTTGGGGAATAAAAAAGCAATGCATTAAATGTTGCAGACATAAATGAGCAGGTAGAGCCAAAATTAACTGCTTCTACAGCTGGCGCTCATGCCCCATTCTTTTAATGTCACAGAATTACCTTGTCCTTTAGAGCTTTGTCCTTCAGCCAAGTTGTGAGAGGTTCGAACTCCTTCTCCAGGGCCTCCCTCTTCTCCTTGGTCTTTTCACTCTCGTCAAATTTGACACCTTCCTTGGCCACGTTCTGGAAGCGTTTTCCATCAAACTCTGGCAGTGCCTGGATGCAGTACTCATCCACAGGCTCTGTCAGGTAGATGACCTCATAGCCCTTCTTCAGCAGCTTCTCAACAAAGGGAGAAGACTCAGCCTGTAGTGGATGGAAGAACAAGAGACATGAGAATTTCAGCTAGTGTAGGATAGTTTACACTTCTTTCTCCTGACCAATAAACACACATTCACTCACCTCTTTCCTGCTGGTGCCAGCCATGAAATAGATCTTATCCTGCTTCTCTTTCATGCGCTCCACATACTGTTCCAGGCTGGCCAGGTCTGTTTCACTGTTGGAGGTCTGGAAGCGCAGCAGCTTAGCGAGACGGGTCCTGTTGGAGTGATCCTCGATCACACCCAGCTTGATGTTTGTGCCAAACTCCTTCCAGAACTTATCGTTGTACTGTTCCTCTGCAATCTTCTTAATCATGTCCAGAGTCTTACGGACCAACTTCTTGCGGATAACCTGAAAAAGATAAAGTAGGTAATGACCATTTCATACTGCATTAAATCTAGCGTTAGTTATTCAGAATCTTTAATTTATGGTTTCATTTAACCATGTTCTAGTGCCCCCTGTTATTCCTGAAAGCACTTTATGATTTGCACTACATAAAAATTGCTTTGTTGCTTCATTATCCATTTTAATCAAAGGCTTCATTGGTTAATGATGACTAAATGATGGAATGGGAAGCGAACAGGGCTGCACGTTGAGCTCACCTTGAGCAGTTTGTGCTGCTGCAGAGTTTCTCTGGACACATTCAGAGGAAGGTCGTCAGAGTCGACCTAACAAAATAAAGTTTCCCTTAATCACAGTGCAGGTGATAATGTAGAGACCAAGCACATAACATTAGCATGAGACCAAATAAGAGTTAAAAATAACTCACCACTCCCTTGATGAAGTTCAGGTACTTGGGCATCATGTCATTGAAGTCGTCTGTGATGAAAACTCTCCTGACAAACAGCTGCGAATGGAAGGCATTTACTTTGAAACTCAGTTTTTGGGGAATTGCTGAAAAAGTTGAATAAATCTGATACCAAATATTGCTTAGAGTACACACCTTGATGTAATCGTTCTTCTTGGAGCCATACTCGTCAAACAGCCCACGGGGAGCTGAAGTGGGCACAAACAGGATGGACTTAAAAGTGACCTCACCCTCAGCTGTGAAGTGGATGTGAGCCATAGGGTCATCATTGTCCTGTTGGAAGATGGGTAAAGTTTATAAAAATCAGACATTAGTATACCAGCCTATAGAGCCGGTTTGATAAAGTATGTGTGCCTACCTTTGAGAAGGTCTTGTAGAAAGCCTTGTACTCATCTTCCTCAACCTCCTTAGCAGGCCTCTGCCAGATGGGCTTGATATCATTCATCAGTTCCCAGTCCCACACAGTCTTCTCAACCTACACATCACACAATTATATAACTTTTGAAAAATATACATTTTAGATCAGACATATTTTCACAGACTTCTATTTGAGTAAAATAGTCCACAAATCTTAATGACTCAGTGGGACTTTAACCCACCATAAAAACTGTTAATGATCACACTCACACATAGTCTCAACCACCATTTCTTCATCAACATACCTTCTTTGTTTTTGGTTTGTCTTTGTCTTCTTCTTCCTCCTCTACTTCAGCCTCATCTTCAGAAGCCTCTTTCTCTGGTTCCTCTGCTGCCTCAGCATCTTCATCAATGGGCTCTTCAACCGTCTCAGTCTTGAATGTTAAAAGAAATTATGCAACCGTTTGTTCATTTCCATATTTGTCAGTTTCAGTCTGGAATTAAGTCTGACTCATAGTGTTGAAGGAAATGACAAAGTAGTCACCTTGCTGGCCCACACATAGATGGGGAAGTTGATGAACTGAGAGTATTTCTTGACAAGGTTCTTGATGGTCTCCAGCTCCAGGTAGTCTGAGGCCTCCTCCTTTAGGACAAGTCTGCAATTAAACAAAGACAAGATTAAATGTAAAATTCCAGGCTTTAACATTTCAGACTCATGTAGCAGCATGAAAATACTCTGCAGTTCTTCTTCAATAGAGGCTGTACATTAACAACACATAGACATTAACTACGATTTCATAAGCTTTGACAAATAAAATGAGCCACGCATTGAAATTAATTTCACAAGAGCTGTTTAAAAAGATCAAGAAACCAAATCTGGTGTGGGCAAATGTTAGCACATAAATAACATACGTGATGGTGGTTCCTCTACCCAGTGTGTCCCCACGGGGGTCCTCAATGACAGAGAACTGATTTGAGTCAGACTCCCAGATGTGCTGTGTGTCATTGTTGTGCTTGGATGTCACAATGACCTTGTCAGCAACAAGGAAGGCAGAGTAGAAACCGACACCAAACTGTCCGATCAGCTCTGAGGTAGACTGTTCCTCTTCCTGCATCTCGGTCATCTTGTTAAGGAATTCGCTGGTGCCTGACTTGGCAATGGTTCCCAAGTTCTTTACTAGCTCCTCCTTGGTCATTCCAATACCAGTGTCAGTGATGTGCAGCATGTTCTTCTCCTTATCAGACTGGGGATAGAAATAATGAAATTCAATTAGTGGATGCACAGCTCTTCCATTAAAGGTGTCAGCATTCAGTAAGTTAATGCATACCTTTATTTTGATGGTCAGCTCTTCATTTGTGGCCATTGCATCCTCGTTGGTTAGGGACAACAAGCGGATCTTATCCAGAGCATCCGATGCATTGGAAATCAGCTCCCTAAGGAAGATCTGCAGCACAAAACAAAGTGATGAACTCTGTGAGAAATGTCTTAAATAAAAATATGTAGACACAGGTTTGAGTAAAGATTATTCCTGCCCACCTCCTTGTTCTTGTAGAGAGAGTTGATGATCAGCTTCATCATACGGTTAACTTCAGCCTGAAAGGCATGTTTTTCAGACTTTTCCCTGAGTTCCTTAATCTGAGCTGCATTCAAACCGTCCAACTGGATTGCCTCCTCCTCTCTGAAGGCAGACAGATGCAAATACAAACAGGGTAAGAGAGGAGAACGACAGCAAATCTTTGCTGCCAAACAAATCTGTTGTCCTTTCAGATAAGACTGAAGATGAAAGCAAGATACATACAACTTCCTATTATTACAGGCAACTTTACAGTAAAACTTACACACCTCTGCCTCCACTGTAACGCCAAAGTGGCCCTGAGCACTTGTACACAAGCTTTATCTTCTTGACCTTGTTCTGCTAAGATTTAGTGGACTTTTCCCTGATACAGTAACTGCAGTTTTCTAGAAAGATATATGGACTTACGGAAAGTAACACCTACCTCTGCACCACTTCATCGTCTGTTCTGGAGCCATCCCTGCTTTTACCCAAGTCCTCCTCTACTGTCCCGTCAACGTCAAATTCATCATCTGCCTTTACAGCAGCTGTCAAGGGAGAAGTTGCTCGATTAAAATTCATTATCAATTACCGGGAACATGTGGTAATTTTAGACTCATTAAGTTTTTAAAGCACTGTGCAAACACATGCTCACAGTCACCAAATTAATTAAGACGTAACGTCTGACCGTGTCAGCCTTTTAATCATTATTTAAACGTGCATGTATGCAACAGTGGAGGTTAGCTAACATGAGACAGCTTCAACACAGGTGGTGTTTCTGCTAGAAAGTTCTGGAAAGGCAAGGAGATTAACGGACACTGGCGTTACTCTAAAATAACAGGTAAATTAAATACGCTCTCCGTTGCTTTGACACCTGCAAGCCTTTTAAAGTCAAGTACAGAGAGAACGTACAAACTCCACAGTGAATGAAAAGAAAAGCAAAAACCAAGTTAGTGCTAGCATACGGGCTAAAGGTAGCTAAAATAATGAATAATTAAAAAAAATACCACTACTCACCAAATGCTAAGAGTGCAAAAAGAAGCCCTATCACCCAGACTCGTTTCATTGTGAGATGCTTCCTGACTGACTGCCTGCCTGACGACTTGAGCCTTCAGTTGCTGAGACAATAGCCGGGAGATCAGCGCATGCAGCACTGGCTTTTACAACGAGGAATGACTAGCTGTCTCTCCCACCAAAAGAGTCCACTCGCCTTACCCCGTGACTACCGACCAATGGCTGTGCACCACGCACGACCGTCGACCAATCACAATACAGTCTACGGTACATGTTGTCCAATCAGTTTCTTCAACATATGCCTAGACCCGAAAATCGTGGCTGGACACCATTGGCTAGGAATGAATAATCAGCACATCACTTCCTAAAATTTACCTTTCATTGTAGGGAAAACATCACTGACAGCACTTCCAGTTAAAGTTCCAGAGCCAAGGAACACACTTAGGATTAATAATAGAAAGACGGCGAGTGTTTGGTTTATGGCTCCAAGGCCGTTTCAGTCTCTACAAAAGTAAATGATGCAATATTTCTTGCTGTGTATATGGCGCGTTATTCTGGAATTTCGCATTCCCTTTCCTTTAAATGACTGGATGCATCGTAATGCTGTGGAAGCATAAATTATAATGAATGAGTCTATTTCAAGTTAGTCACCGAATCTAATCCACTTGGTGGCGCTATATAGTTAGCAAGCTGAAATGGCAAATGCTAATGTTTCAGGAACTAGTTCTAAGTGTTCTCCCGCAGATCAGGATATCATTATTGTGCTGCTTGCTCAGTTTGTTTTGTATCAGGGGTGTTAGCGATCGTGTCAGCAGCGACATTTAATGTGAATCTTATTTTAAAAAAATGACAACCATCGTCAATACTGAACATCTCAAATGTATTACACTTGACTGTCTGACCAGTGTCAGCTCCTATTAAGTGTGATGTTTCTCCAAATGTGAATGGAAAAAAGATCAGAATTAACAATTTAAAGATAAATAATAAAATACTGGGCTAGTACTTTTTTGTTATAAGGTCAATAGTTTGATTTACTACATTACAGTAAGTCATAGTTCTATCTTAAAAATGATTTTTCCAGTCTAATACAATTTTCATAAAGCATCTTTTAAACAACAAAGATTACCGAAGTTCTGTACACAAAAAGGTGGATTACATAATAAAATACAAGATATACACATGTGCGCACATGCCCACACACATCAACCTAAAAGGACTGCAAAAAAACACAAAACAGCCTTAATGCCTTCAACTCTTATGCTGGGTCAAAGCAAAAGAAGAAAAGCTCGTTTCAAAGGTGGACTCAAACAAATGTTGCACTTATGGCTGAGATAGCTTGATTCAAACATACAATGCAACATCAAAAATCAATTGTAAAATACACAGGAACCAGTGAAGGGAGGTCAGGACAGGGGGAATATGCTCCATTTTATGGGTTCTATTAAGAAGGTGAGGAGCTGCATTTTCTTTTTTTTAAGCAGAATTAATTTGTTTACCCAATTTTAAGTCATAATCCTTCTGCTTACCCAATCCAAGATCATAATCCACAATTCAATGTGAACCTACACAGGAAAAACATGCAAACTCCACACAGAAAGGTCTCAGCTGGCTGGTGGATTCAAACTCTGGACCTTCTTGCGTTTAAGTGTCAGTGGTAACCACTACGCTGCTATATCATTATTAGTCTCTATTAGTCTTAGTCTCTGTTCACAACGATTGATTAATTTAGAAAGCACAGTGGATTCTAAATCAGACAATCAATATGTGCTTGAAGTGCACACTTTCATCTTTAATTCACTGTGTTTAACAAACCCTTTGCAGACACTGTTTAGAAATTACAGCACTTTTTATACATAGTGCCCCATTTTCAGGAGCTTCATGGCCAGGTGAGGCCTGTTCCCTCATTACTCCATGACAAATCAAGGAGATCTGCAGTTCATTCCAAGTGCTGAACTTGTATTTGGTTACTCTTCACTGGAAATCTCAATATGAGTTCCAAAGAGATATTGATGCAAGTGAAAAAACAACAACAATCATTACACTAAAACCCAAATACATCCATCAGAGAGATGGCAAAACCTTCAGGAGTGGCCAGATCAATGAACTGATACCTTCTTAAAAAGAAATACACTGGCGAGTTCAGCAAAACCAAAAGACCTGAAAGACCACAAAATAAAGTGGATGATCACAGACTTCTTTCCTTGGATAACTTTGATGAAAGGTTGAGTCTTTTCATTTGAAAAGCTCTCATACGTATGTGAGATACTTAATATCTATCTGAAAATGTTAAATGTTTGGACCGAGAGATTTTGCATTTTCTTTTCCTTTTTTGGTATCAACTAATGAGGCAGACTAATTATGTGATTGGTTTGGTAAGAGCATCCCAGAGAGGAATGATAAGTTATCAATTAAGGAATAGCTTTCCACTTACATTAATATAGAGTAAACTGAACCAGACAATGTTTGTTGTCTTTGGATATAAACCTTGAATTTGGAAAAATTAGCAAAGTCCCAGAGTATCTAGTGATATAAGACTCTAAGCCTGTTCACATGGGATTTCACAATTTCTGCTATGTAGCTAGTCCATCTAGCTAATATTAGATAGATGTGATGTCATCTGCTAAAAAAGTAAGAAGCACATACTGTATTAGCCTAATAGCTATATTGTGAGCTATCTGGAGGTGAAATAATGACTTTTGGTGTTGCACTGATCAAAAGTCTTGAGCCTTCTCTCCACCTCTGCATAGGAGGTGAAAGTTTTAGTAGCGTTTGCATGCATATGTGCACGTCATACTTTCAGTCTGTAAACACGATAGTGCCAAAGGTTTTGAATGAATTATGATAAAACTTTGTAGGGGTGTAGATGATGTCATGTTCACAATCCATTAAAATGTAGCTCACATCCACCAAGGTCTTCAAGGTCAGCTTAAGAATTAATTTATCAAAAATCATCCTGTCATGTCACATTTTACCTCTGACCTCTCCCTCAAGATCAGTAGATTATTCCGGAGGTCAAATTGATATAGAGCTACTGCAGTTGTTAGTTGGTTAGATATATGGGGCAGCAAGGTGGCATAGTGGTGGCACTGTTGCCTCGCAGCAAGCCTGAGTTCATTTCCACCATCAGGCCGGGGCCTTTCTGTGTGGAGTTTGCTTATTCTCCACGTGTTTGCGTGGGTTCTCTCCGGGTACTGCAACACACGTACACACCTGCTAAGTAGTGTTGACGGTGAGTATTACACCAACTCATCTTGACAATGCTGTACAAGCATACAGCGAATGAGTGCTGATCTTTATCCACTAAGCGGCACTATTTAGCTACTGACTTAAAATATACACCTTATAGTAAACACAAATGATAGAAAAAACACTGGTGCAAGTTTCTCCCACGAATGTGCATATTATTCTACTGCTTGCTCATTCTGTTTACATGTTTACGTGGGCAGCGGAACAAACAGAAGCTAAAAGACACACAACTCTTTCTGATAATCCTCGTCCCAAAAGGATAGATAGATAGATAGATAGATAGATAGATAGATAGATAGATAGATAGATAGATAGATAGATAGATAGATAGATAGATAGATAGATAGATAGATTTGATTCAGCATTCAGTCTTTTATTGCTTTCATATTTTATTGGATTTCTACTCTCTAATAACACATTTACTACGTGTTGGCTACCTGTGATCCCAAATGATGGAAGGGCAGTAAGGAGCAAGCATAAAGTATTAGAAATATGCATCTTATATGCATTTATAAATATAGTCAGGCTATGGGAGGCACTGAACGTCAAACGCACGAGCTCCTGATTGGCTGGCTGGTCGTAACCTTACCAAACAGGGAAGTGACGTAAGAGCAACTACACAGCGACAGTTTCTGTTTTTGCCGAGGGAGCCCGTTGCCGCATGCAGTCGGCTGGGGAGTACACCGCAACCTCCGCACGGTCCGCCACGCTCTGAACAAAGCTATGGCGCCCTGGTCTTTGCCGCTCTGTTCTCTTCTGAAACACACGGACTGTCTGCAGAAGGCCAATATTTTTTGTAATGTCGTACAGGGGTTACACCACCACTACCATCCGGTAAGGTCTCGGTTATGGAAACGGAATTTCAGAGCGGTGTCCCAGGGAGTTGGTCAGCTACTCTCCCACGAGCCCAGAGCCGGAAAGAGCGCAGCATCTGTTTGTAGCAGCTCCTTAGACGGCCAGAACACGACAGAGAGGCTGTGGTCTGTTTACGATGAGACCAAAAGACAAACTGGAGGTAAGGTCACTGTTCACAGTGAGGCGGCTCCTCATTAATAATTACAGCCCTGCCCTAAATACAAAGCTGCTGTTTCTTTATAACTCTGTCATGGCTTGTGTTTCCTGCTGACTAACTACATCTCGCCATTGCTCTATATTAATAGCTTCTCAGACAGCAGACTCTAAATGTGGAAAATAGGTTGTACCTGTAACTTGATTTATTTGTGTATCACTGATGCTAACAAATCCCCAATGTCTACATTTCGGAACCTTAAAACCTGCATGTTTTTATTTATTGCATTACTGATTAATGATCTTTTTTAAAGGTCAGAATTTGTTGGGAAGTTGACATTGAAGGGTTAAATCAACGCTGTGCTGATGTTTGACTGAGGTGTTCTTTTACACACCTTTTGTCCACTCCTGAATGAGAGTAACCTTGGGAGTTGGTGTGATTAGCACTGTTGCCTCACAGCAAGAAGCTTCCCGGTTTCCTCCACATGTTTTAGCTTCCTTCCACATTCCAAAGACATTCATGTCAGGTGAGTTGGTGACTCTAAACTGGCCATGGATGTGAGATAGATAAAATATTTTAGGTGCATAGAATCAAGAGCTGTATGAATGCATCCCCCCCCCCCCCCCCCCCCCCCCTTTTCTAATGTATTAGTTTTTACATGTTTGTCACAATTACATATTTTCAGATCCTCAAAAACTTATATTCACTTCTTCCGATTACTATAAATGATTTTAATAATGCTATAAATAAAATAGACGTGACAGTCAATGTAGGCAATATACTTATTAATTATAGATGAAATATATACAATAATGCAAGAATTTATTATAAATATTTTTTAAAAACACAGATGTTAATAATTGCTGTACATGTGTCTGTGCAAAGTTTTGCTGAGATTGGCCCACTTGTTAAGAAAGAGG